AAACTACAAAGAACTCAATGGACACCATCCAAAACCAAGCTCTTCGTCTTATCTCTGGCGGAATGAGATCCTCACCGACTGCGGCCAGTGAAATCTACACAAATATTGAGCCATTAGAAATTCGAAGAAAACGGGCAGCTTTAGAAGTATACATGAAAGATCTAAAAGGCTAGAAAATAACCACCCTAATAGAATCCTTGTTGACAAGTGGAAACCTAACCAAAGACTAAAAAATACAAAATCTGTACTTGACACTGTTCTCAATCTCCAAGAAAAACATCACCTCCCTGAAAGACGAGAACCTCTGGAAAGAGTTCCCTCAACTCTCCCACCACATCTCACCATAACAAAGCCAGAAATTAGGAAAACACTTTTGGACAAGAGCAATAAAAACACATATCCTGTAGCACTAAAACATTCTGCCCTTGAAACAATTGATTCCTATCCACCAACATGGATCCACTCATACACTGATGGATCTGTCTTTAAGGCAACAATCAACGCTGGATATGGGTCAGTGATCAACTTGCCCAGTGGGATAAAAAAAGAAGTCTTTAATTCCAGCAGGTCCTTCTACTCCAATTTCATCACCGAACAACAGGCTATCACCAACACAGCAAACTACATCAACTACTTGTTTGACACTAATCCACTTGCTACCACAGACATCGTTATATTTACAGACAGCCTTTCAACACTAGAGACACTTGAGAGTGGGACTGATGTGAACAAAGATGTATTGCACTTGATTTGGAGTCTACATTATTTGATAAGTAGGCACCACGTCAGAGTAGTCCTACAATGGATTCCTGCCCACACTGGGATACCGGGAAATGAAAGAGCTGATGCTCTGGCAAAGAGAGGAGCTAGCCTCCCTCAACCTGAAATTCCTACGAATAACACCACCTGCTGCCAAATGATCAAGTCAAACCTCAAGGAAGAGTGGATGAATGATTGGGCCACAGGTACGACAGGAAGGAAGATGTATGGCCACATGAATAAACCACTGGTCAAAGATCCAATCAATGAGTTGAGGAGGGGAGATCAATCCATAATCTTCCAACTTAGAACACAACATGTACCTTTCAACCAACATCTCAACCGAACTGGAGTAAAGCAGTCTGCTGCCTGCCCACTATGTGACTACCCCTCAGAGACAGTGGAACATCATCTGTTCTTCTGTAGAAAACTAACTGATTTAAGGGGACGTTTTCTTCCCAAGCTACCCCACACATCTAATTGCCTCTACTCCTAAAGACAACAATTAGAACAGACATGCAGCTATTACCGAATGGCATCATGCAGAAGAGTTAACGCTCAGATGCTACTGGATCGCTAACAACAACAATAACAACCCCACGGGGCGGTGCCACTGACTGAAGTGTCTTTAGGCCATTCCCAAAAGGGGGACATTTCTCGTTCTAATGCACAGTAGAATTGTAAATGGGCTGATCCAACAATGTCAGGCTCATGACTGTGCCTGAACAGGGAACTGCAGCTTTTTCTCTCCTAATCCTTACTATAGTCATTTTCCTCTACTTCTTTTGTATGTTTGTCACACTCTTGTGACCTGCTATTTCCAGGGTGCCTTGATAGTCGAAGCAAACTTTGTGCTGTTGAAGCTAGAGAGGTGAGCACAGTAAGTCTGATTCCCTGTAAGGACTTCTCTGTTGACATCAACCCCTTGAGAAGCTTGTTCATTTTCCTTGCTTTGGGTGAAGAAAATACAGTCAAACCTGTGTAAGACGGCCACCCATTGTCAAGGAGAAAAGTGGCCGTATAAGACAGGTGGCCATCTTAGGCAGGACTGATCAAGATAAAGGAAACAAACCATTCCCATCTGAGGCCCCAATCGAAAGTAGCCCCATTGTTGTTGTCTTTGTTGGTCTTGTTGCTGTTGGTTTGTATTTCGTTTGTAATTTTTATTTTGTCGCTGATTTTGCACAATGGTGACAATAAAACTAAATGTATCAGACAAGGAAGACCGAGTGCCATGTTAAAACAAACACATGGGTCGCCCCCACTCGGAGAACGAGGGACGCTTCTGTAACAAGTTCCTGTTGACGTCCTTTGTTACTTTGTTACAGACTGGGTAAACAGTGACCACTAATCTCACGTATGATTTGTGTGTATGAGTTCTGGGCGGGGCTTATGGGTTATGAGGGATCACACGCTTACCTCACCAGCAGCTGAAAATTGGTAGCTATTGGTTAACAGTGGGAGGGGCCTACGCAACATGATCGGTTGGAGGGACTACCTAACAACAACGACAGGTGATTGAATTATGACGGCTCGCCCACAACGCCAGGGGCCAATGCACAATTTATTATGGGGTCACCTGGTTGCAGAGGTAAAATTATTGAGAAAATGGCCGCCAAAGATGAGTTATTACCTTAGCTTGAGAGTCCGTGGAAACTGAAAATTTAGATTTTTTTCTGTCTTTAATCATGATTTTTCAATAAAATCCACACAGAAATGTGTTCTTTAATGGGCATGAAATTTGTATTTATTTATTATTCAGTAGAGTTTTTTTGGCGCTCGCAACTGCATAAGGTCATTGCGTCGTGACACATATTTGTTAGAGTGACTGGCCTAGCAACCACTCTATGAAGAAAAGTAGGAGTTTTTCTCAGAATCCTCCCAAAAAAAAAACAAGTTTTGAGAAAAAAATATAAGTTTCTAGAACTGCAGTAAGTTATAATTATGTTAGGAACCGACCTGGCAAATAAATATACGTGTAGGGATAAAAAGTATAAAGTGAATAACCGAAAACAAAAAGTATTTTTTTCACACCATTTACAATAAGTCGCCCAAATATTGCAAATAAACTTGTGTATTTTCATGCCATTTATAATAAGCTGTGCACAAATGATGGGAATAGAATTCCACCCCCCAAAAAAATGCAAATAACTCTTGTATGAAGATAGTCACATATATGTGTCACGACGCAGTGCTTAAGAGTCCTTGGAAACTGCAAATTTACATTTTTTTGTGCCTTTATTCAACATTTTCCATAAAATCCACACATAAAAATGTTTTTGAAAGGACATACTAGGTGCTGATTCAAAAAACAAAAATTGGAAAAAAAATTCCAAACTGGCCAAAAAATGCAGATTTCTCGGATTTCATTATTTTCACAAGCGCCTGATTTCACCACGATGCCTCACATATTTATCAACTATCATACAAAGGCTGAGTTGCCAAAATTAGCTGCTTTCATACAAGAGCAATCAATAAAGATTAATAACAACTAAGCAATAAACTAATTCGCATCCTGTCCACAGTAAAATCAAGACAGAGGGCTAAAGCCAATGTCATGACCTTGTTAGATTTGATTCTTATATATCAATTTAACCACACTTTAACAAACTTTTTTTTGGCTTTGCTATCCAGTATTTTGTTTGTACAAAATATAAATGAAATCACCATGGGAACTAACCACAGAGCAGTCAGCTCATTAGGATTTTTGCCCTACATATATATGCCCAACAAGTTACGAGCGCGTGACATATTTCTTGGCGTCTATTATTTTTTTATTTGTAAATTCGTTGAACATTGAATTTTATACCTTTTTAAAAAAATCATGACAAATAATCTAGCAGAGATAGACACTTGTACTTTGGTACATTTATTGTTCTTGATTGTATCAAAAGGGTTTTGCAGTTGGTTAAATATGGTTAAGATCTTTTATACAATTTTTTTTTTAAACCTTCAGTCTTCGGTACTTGTACATGATAGTAAAATCCTTCAGTGTTCAGTGAGTGAATGGATGGCAATTTTGGACAATTTTGATTACGTTGTTATCATTAAGTCATATGTGTATTATAATCAGAAAAAATATACCTTCTGCGCACATCTGACAGGACTGACTCCACATCATCGTTGTGCCCAGTGAATCTGCTCATGGAATCCTCCAATAACGTCATGATGGTCAACTTCAGCGGGGCAGATATGGGTTTCCACTTGGCCATGGTTGCTGCTGATACTTTCCGTTGTCGCAGTGTCCCTTCCTGTCCACTCTCCAATCTGGAGTTTCTTGATTTCACCTTTGTGACATTAGATCTACTACCTTTCTTACTCATGCTTGTACTTGTAGCTTCTGAAAAACAGGCCTATTCACTGGAAGAGAAAACAGATTCTTCTTTAAGAAAACATATTTTCCAAGACAGAAGGTTGTTAGAAGATAGGAAGTATAAAAAAGGGATACATTTTTAAACTGCTCATTCTTCATTCTAGTGGAGAAATGTGTTTTCTTCTGCAAAAAAAGAGAACTGACCACATCCACTGCAAACAGAATCATCATGTATCATTGCTGAACATACAGGGTTTCTGCCATGAACTCTCCACAAAATTCCAGGCGATTTCAAGGAAGTTTCAAGGAGAAATATTTTTAATTCAAGGAGATTTGGTTAAGAAATTCATGCGGAAAGCCTATTTCAGACAGGCCTACATTTGTCCGAAAGAAACTGTAGTTTCGATTTTCCGACAAAAATTTTGTTCATGTCCGATCTGGCCAAATTCAAGGAGTTTTCAGGGAGATTTTTCCTTGAATGCAAACTCAAGGAGTTTTCAAGGACTCCTTGAATTCAAGGAGGCCATTTATAGAACCCTGCAAAAAAGCAATTTAAGCAGGGGGAACCAATTTAAGGAAAATACGAAGTTAAGAGGTTTTGGGTTTTTTAATGTAGGTGTAGTAGGTGTACTTTTTAAGCCCCCATTGACACAATTTGATCACTTACGAGGCAGGCTTCGGACCTTACCTGTCTGTGCCCACCCGGGATGAAAGGAATACAATATCCCGACTGAAAGACCAAAATACTCAATAAAACTTTACTCCCCTCCAGGGAATTGAACATGGGCCTCCTGCGTGTGACAGGAAAACACCTCCCTTACACCACAAACGCCGGTGAGTCAAAATGTGGTGGAAGAGTGTAGTGGTGCTTACTTACAGACGAGACACCGCAACATGACAATTTCATATATTATTATTTATAGTAAATGCAAACAAGTGTGAAAGTGCAAAGAGTGTGTTGGCTGTTTACGTTTGTGCACGTGTGAACAGAGAGAGAGGAGAGAGAGAACTTTCATCTCAATCACCTTTCACTTTCCATACAAATTTTATCATGATGCATTCTTGTCCATGTTTTAGTGTAGCCCCTGTTTCTGAAATCAGCCAACAGAGCAGCTTGAAAATTCTACTCTATACATGATGCAGGAAGTGATACCTTCACTGACTTTTATTAAGCTGTCAAGTGTGTCATACAGTCATGTGTGTCCATTGCATGATCTCTGCACTAACAACAGCATCTATCAGATCGGCAAGTTTTATTCACATGATAAAGAACCAAGTTCGGCGCTCAAGATGCGCACAATCACATCACATCATAATTGTTCACACACAAAACAATAACTTCCCACGGATCAACAGAAAAGCACACATTCACAGTCAAGAACACGCCTGCACTATTGCCCTGGCGGCGTCTTGACATAATGACCCCGTTCCCTGATTCACTTGCAGTTCTGGTTTCTAGAAAAAGCAGACAATAAAACCTATTGTTAGACAGTTCGCAACCATGCCATTTCCAGGCAAACTACCACTCCATCCCCTCCCTACCATACAGGCGCCAAATCCATCTTGGCCTTTTGGCCCAACACTACAATCTCTTAGTGTGATGGGAGTACCTGTTGTAGCATTTTTGGCTGAGTTATGTTCTTGATATCTCTTGTGTCTTCCGTCAAACATCTGGATGGGGTATTAAAGAAACTTTTTTGCTATTCTTGGAGAGAAAACCCTGTTTTCAACTGATTGAATCAAATAGTTTATAGATCATTTTGAATTATTTTGACAAGACTTCACACCTAAACAATGAACACCAAAATGGGTTCAGGCAGAGACACTGGTTCAGGTAGCACCGATCTGGGCTTGGCGCCCTCGGTGATAGAAGGGGTAGGGGTAGGTCTCTTCTTTATTGTGTTTGGCTTATCCGCCCTCCTCCCACCAGCCTAATTATAGTTATAGACACCTTAACTAAAGACTGGCAAACTTAGGGATGAACACTGAAGAAGAGATTTGTTTGAAGAAAATAATGTGATATTTAGTTAAGTTTTGGAAAATCGTATTCCCTTTTTTGAAAATCTTTCTCCATTTCAAAGGGTGGCGCCATTGCGCCATTTGCACTTGGAGAGCCACGCCACTGACGGGGGAGCTATTCAGAACGCGGCGTTGCAAATAGCGCTTGCCTGTTTTTATTAGGTCAACCCCCCTACTCTTGAGGCCAAAACCGGCGACCGAATAAGCGCCCTAGATTCTAGAAGATTAGATCTAGATCTAGATCTAGTCTAGATAGAATCTAGATCTCTAGATCTAGATATCAAACATTTATTGTTTGGGAAGGACTTCCGCAACGAGCGACCGCCCCAACAAACAAAGAAGAGACCTACCCCTACACCTTCTATAGCAAGGAGTTTAGAACTAATGAGCCTCCTCTCTCTCTTCGCGGCGCCACGAGCAGTACGCCGCGGTAGGGATCAAATATATGGCCGGAGACTGTGGGCTAAATCATCAACTGTGACGTATAAATAGAATATTATCGTGCTGGGCCCCGTTGTGGGGGTGGGCGGGGTGGGGGAATGCACGCAAGGAAGAGGGGATGGGGCTGGGATGAAAGAGGAGGGGCGGGCCTTGGGAAGGGACGAAGGAGAAAGGGACAAATTAAATAAGAGAGAGAGAGAGAGAGAGAGAGAGAGAGAGAGAGAGAGAGAGAGAGAGAGAGAGAGAGAGAGAGAGAGAGAGAGAGAGAGAGAGAGAGAGAGAGAGAGAGAGAGAGAGAGAGAGAGAGAGAGAGTGACAGACAGACAGACAGACAGACAGACAGACAGACAGACAGACAGACAGACAGACAGACAGATTGTGATCAACTGACGAGCTGACGGATAATGACAGGGAGAGAAAAAATGATAAATTCTGTGTGTGATAAGGACTGTTCAATTCTTTTTAAGCGTTTTATGTTATAATCTAGTTTAAAAATCAAAAAGATGTGTCAAATAAAAAGAAAACTTGTCCGAGTAACTTAAAATTATCAAACATACCAAATTATAAAGATAATCTTTCAAGATGCTAAAATGTAATATGAAATGGATAAAAATATACTTTTAAACTATATTTAAGATATGATTGCATGATTCTAGGCGTGTGCCATATCTAACTTTATGTGTAAGGAATAGCGAACGCAAAGAGGGTCGATGCCAGCTTTATCTGATTGCTAACAGTATGTCTTGGTCTAGATGAATAATAATATTATTGATAACAATAATTTTGTTTCCTGGTTTTCACAAAGTGGAGCGCACAATGATTTCAAATATATTTTTTTTAAAGAGATTATAACAGCATCTTTGGAGGTGTGATCGCATGCATGAGCGTGGATGACCTTTGACGTTGAAGGTTTTTTTTTGTTTTTTTTTGTTCAGTAAAGTATGATATCAGGAGCAACGTTTTTAGTCCCTTCTTACACTCCAGAGGGGGATAATTTATCTTAGCGATGACTCTTGTGTGTGTAGTAAAATTTGTTGATGCTTTGTTTGGTTTATTTTTTAACAGCAGAATCTTAAAAGTGAACCGGAATTATTGATTGTGGGATCTTTGGTCTACAACAATAGAATTAAACCAAGTATAGTTCTATCTAACAAGGCTCAAACTCTTATCCACCCCACCCTACCCTCTCCCCTCATCTGATATGGTTTGGTGTTTCTTTGACATAGATCTAGAAAATATTCATCATTATTGTTTTTGAGTATTGATTTCATATTCTAATGGAGCCTCTAGATCTACATTTAGACAACAGTTAGTATCTAATTTGCACACACAATGGAAAGCAATATATCTTTAATTAAATGTATAATATGTATTATGGCCACCTCTATTCTCACCCGCGGTGAGAATAGCGCAGGCGAGTCTTTCGGCTATTCTCACCCGGTGGGCGTTCACCGTTATAGCCTAGGCCAACCAGTGAAGCGTTCACCCTGAACCACAGAATTCTACACTGAACAGAATTATAGAATTCTGTGCTGTGAACAAACGTTCTAGATCTATTACTACTGTTAGTGTTAGCCTAAAAGTAAAAGCGTGCAATTTTGTCTGTGGGCAGTGGAGAGTGAATGATGATGGTGGGGAGAAGAAGGAAGAGGTGGTGGTGGAGGAAGGGAGAAGGAAGATGAAGAAGAGGATAGAATGGCGGTGAAGAGGAGGAAATGGAAAACTTATGAGGCTGTTCAAATAATCTTACACTTTTGGGGACGTTTTTAAAACACAAAACCCAAATACCACTTTTCTCACATTTGCCTCCAACCCCCATCCACACCAAGTTAATTAGTACTTTTTCCGATCTTCAACTTCCATTATTATTTTAAAGATACCTGTACTATACGTGGCTTTTTTTAACCAGCTTGTAAAAAAAATATCATTTCAGTTAATACAATTTAATCAAACCATATGAACTAGAAAGAACGCATAAATATGGAAGACATTGAGACTCTTGTCAATGCAATAGGTACGTGCCTTACAAATAAAAGACATCAAGAAAGACATTAAAAGATCAACAAAACAGTTGCAAAGTTACAAAGAAACATTAAGAAATTAGATATCCACCGACAGAATTTTCATCATAATTTCAAAATTATTTGTAAACCCCCCCCCCCCCCCCCCCCTTTTCCTCTAAAAAAAACAACAAAAAAACAACAATAACGGGGATCTGCAGTGATCATGCAGATCTGGGTCTTGTTACTGGTATTTATCCACTTTTTCTTTTACCTTTTCTTCCCAGTCATGAGCAAAACGTTCATCTCACAGAAGTGTCATAATATTTGGAAAACCTCCCCACCCAATCTTACACTTTTCTTACAGAAGCCAAAGACACCCTTTCCCCTCTGAGGTGTAAGTTTATATTTTGAACGGCTCCTACTATAGGCCTAGATCTAATACATTGAGGCATGTCGCGTACATGAGAGGCGGAGTAGGGTCGCTTTTCGAGGATCGCCGTAAAAATAGCCTGGGACTCACTGGAAGGCTATCTTTACGGCACGCCGTAAAAATAGCCTGGGAGGCTATCTTTACGGCTCGCCGTAAAAATAGCCACTGCGTTTTTTAAAAGGAAAACAACTTAACTGTGAAAACTTCGGTCCACTGCAGCATCATATTGGTTCTTACACTTAAATACAACACAGGTGCAAGGCATTTTTACTAATTGACTTGCCTAATCTAAAGGACCTCGGAATAAAACCTTCTTTCTTGTCCTATCTAGATTTCAGTGTGCGAGTCGGGCATTCGCGCTGCGCAGGTAGACCACGTCCACAGTTCCGCCGTGAGAGAGGGCTCCTATCAGGCGTGCGGTGCCGCCCACAGAGCATCCTCCATTACTTTTAATCTCCTTGCCCTATCCATAACCCTAACCCTACTCCTGACCTAATAATCCTACCCCTACACCACCTAACCCTATCCCTAGCCTTCCATACTTAATCATAGTGGTCGCTCGTTACGGCACGGAAGTCGGCGCTTTTTCGGTAGTTCCCACCCCGCATTTGTTATTCGCCGGTACTGGCCCCAAGAGTAGGGGGGTTTCAGGGGGGCTTGCCCCCCTGACCTAATAAAAACATGGTGGGGGGTTTCAGGGGGGCATGCCCCCCTGAATTTTACCACAATTTAATGTTTTGCAGTTGTTTGGTTTGATATCTTAGCTTGCCGCGAATCAAACGTATATATAGATCTAGATGTAGATCTAGGTCAGGCTCAATCAAATAACTTTATAAGGGGGGTGGGAACTACCCATTATTTGTTACAAAATTGTTAATTTTCAAGGTCTGAAAGCATTCCAACAATACGCTTCGCCATTGCAGTGAATCATGCGAGATCTATAATAATGCAAACGAAACCAACAAAGTTTCTACCTTCCTCACAAAGTCGCATAAAAATTGTAATGTATCTTACTAGGGCTAGGGGCCTATTGTTTTGAATGCTGTAATGGCTGTAATGTTTACGGAAGTGGCGCCGAAGCACAAGCCAGAATTTCTTCCAAGTGCATATACGTTTACAAAACAATTGTACTTTAAACCTTTCCACAGAATTCTACACTTAGTGTAGAATTCTGTGAACCTTTCCTACAGTATTCTTTGGTGTAAACTATTTATATACCATATTATGGGTAAAGACTGTATGAAATTACATTATTTACGAATACACAATGAGAAAAACATTGCACATATTCTGGAACCACCTGATGAAAAAAATAGGCCTATTAAGTTGCTGAGGGTAGCCTGTAGCCAGTAGCCAAGTTGTATCAAATTGGCATTTCTTCAAAAAGTAATCATTTCGCTGTTTTATTTTTCACAATAATGATAATAATAATAATAAATAATAATAATAATAATAATAATAATAATAATAATAATAATAATAATAATAATATTAATAATAGTAGTAATAAAAGTGAAATATTTTAAAGATTCTTTTTTAAATTCCTCTCTGCTTAAAATTATTCTGAAAAAAAAAGACAAAAGGATAAACTAACCCGATTTTCCTGCAAAGCATAATAAAATATAATTATTAAAGATGGCTAGAAATCAGAATTGGTGCACAGTTCTGCTACTAGTATCAAGGCTAGCCGTACTTAATATGAATAATGATGACTAGACTTACAATGATAAAAAGAAGAAAAACAAATAGGCCTACTGAATAGTAAATATAAATCTCTTTCGGATCACCCCCCCCCCCCCCCCCCCCCTCCCGTTGGGAAGAGAATAACATTTTATTCCCACAGTGGGGATAATAGAAGAAAACTAAATTAACCTATGTTCTTGTGAACCCTCGGCTATTTTTTACTACGGTCCGTGTGTTCTTTTGCGCATGATTTAGTTTTACTTTCATTCCTATTTTTGGCCCTAATTTCTCTTTGCTTTCATCAATTTGATATGAGAAAAGCATTTTAAAAAGTGACATCCCCCCTAGCATTTCAAGCACTTTTGTTTGAATGTGCTCAATATTTCCAGACCCAATATAAAATTGTAGGGCCTATATGGGGACTGCCAGGTTATTGTCACAGGCCCAGTTAACGTTAGTCCCAGGCCCAGTTTGTCACAGGCCCAGTTTATCACAGGCCCAGTTAGTCACAGGACAAACTAAAGTTTGTCATATCAGTTATTCACTGGCCCAATTTGTCACTGGCCAAAAGAACATTAATCATTGTTTGAATTTTACTGAGTAATTAAAATTGCTTTGATTCGCATAAAAAAGGAAGAAATATTGAACAATACAAACTGAATTGACATTTTAGAGGGATCACACTGGCCTGTGACTAACTGGGCCTGTAACTACAGGCACGCCTCCAAAAAAATAACCCATTTTCAGCTATATACGTATCCCCATTTTTGTAGTATGACCAAATAGGCGTTATTCGTATTAAGCCTACCACTAAAAATCCCTATGATTTCGCCATTTTGCAAACTATACAGCTGTCGAACAGGCCAACAGATGTTTGCAGAGAGTTATTTTCATGATTCCTTTGCCTGCTGAGACCATATGGTTAAGAATAAGATCAGTAGAGCAGCGAGAGCTTATATAATATTCGTTTTGAACCATAGATTTTTACACTACCAGAGGTTTAAAAAGGAGATAACTCTATGTATTGAAGACTTCCTCACCACCCACTCGTTTGTATTCGTAAATTTTGCAAAAGGTACTGAAATAATGTTAAAGTGCCCTTGCCTTAGTGACTTCTTTGGCGTCAAAGGTGGAAATGGTCCATCAGTTAAGGGCATTAAGAGAATGGGAACTAAAAATCCTTAGATAAAACGACCACTTCAGGTCAAACACACACCGTTTGCACCCCAGGGTGCAGAATTCGTAGATGAGCCCCGAGACGTTTGTCCATAGACGATGCCTGCAGCAATGACTTTCCTACATCTCAACGGTCTGCAATCTCAAGGCATATCTTCATCAACGGCTTTACCATTTTCTCGTTCCCGAAACTATCAGAGGATAGATGTGTTCATGATTCCTCGATCGTCTTGAAAAGCGTGAATTTAACTTCCTCGATGACATAATTTGGTTCCTTGGAGAAACCCATATTCATCGTTCAGTTTATATGCTCCACAAATACTGTCTACTTGGGCAACCCCCCGCCCCTTATATTGTCTCTAGAAACAGCTCCATACTGTATGGTTACAGGCGTGACGGCTTTGAATACTCCTGGTTGAGTGGATCCTTGTGTTTGGCCACCACTGACATTACGAACGACGCTTTCAAATGTGTCGAATCCAAAGGAGGACATATTAGAGGCCATATCGCGGTTCTCGGAATTCCAGAATTAAAAAAAATATGGTTTAACTCTGTAGGAGAAAAGAAATATTGTTTAACGGTTGCAGATATGGAAAGATTTTATTTTTTTTTAAATAAAAGGAAGGGGTGGGGGGAGGCAATCATTTAATATGACTTTCCTTACAAGATCTTTTGAATTGGTGCATTTTGCATAGGTGGTTTTTATTAAAGCCATTTCCGTTTTCGAAAATAAGTTTATTCTTTGTGGAATTAATGTCAAACAAATTCCTTTTGAATGAATTACATTTGTATATCTGTTTCAAATCACAACATTTTAGTACATGTACACGTTTTGTGCGAGATATTTAGAAAAAAAAAGTTGTACAGTTTTGTTGGGGGGTTTTGTGGGGGGTTTTAAAATCACCCTGTATATTTTGCATTTCAAACAAAACCAAAATGTGCTTCATGACATGCTTGTATTTTAAACCTGAATGTACTAATGAAACCTCTGTACCCAACAGGTTTCGGTCAATAGGGCCTATCGTAAGTATGGCTGGACTGGCAGGCTCGTACTTAAGGACGGCGCTAGAACCCCCAAACGCCCACATCATCGTCATCATTGCCTTTCTTAATTAACCTGGATCAGAATATAGGCCACGAACAAACACTTTCCACCTTTCCCTATCCTGGGCTAGTCGCTTGATGCCACTCCATGTCTTCCCACTTTTCTGTACATCCATTTCCGTGATTCTTCTCCAGGTTTCACGAGGTCTTCCCCTTGATCTTCCAATCTAACACTTTCCTTGTTATACAGCTACTTCACTTCCTGAAAGTGTGTCCAATCTATCTCCAACGCCTTCTTCCCACCTAATCTCTGACCTGGCTCTGTCTCGTTCTACTTAATACTTCCTCGTTGGTGATTATGTCTGACACCTCAGACACTTGTTTAAGAAAACCCGGATCCTCTTTATGCACGTCTGAGATGCGTTCCACGTCTCACATCCATACAGCAAGACTGACTTCACATTTGGGTTGAAAATTCTCAGCTTTGTCCGTAGTGAGATATATCCATGATCCTCCAAATCCTGTTCAAAGAAATAAACGCAGTCTGTGTCTTTCCAATGCGGAACTTTTTTTCAGCGCCTGTTCCTCCTTCTCTGTCAATTCTGCTCCCAAGATAGATAGCAGAATGACACGGTGTCTTCTAGTGCATTTCCCTCTACTGTGACCTGCTTCTTTCGTAGTGCATATATCCTTAGGACTTTAGACTTTCCGGGGTGGATCCTCAATCCAACTGACTCTGATAGGCTGTTTAAATTTGTTGTATTTGCTTGCATCTGTGCCTGAGTGTGTGACAGAAACGCCAATAAGTCATCTGTAAAGTTCAGCTTAGGTCGTCCAACTGTGTCCATGGGGTCCTGTGTAAGCCGTTTCTGCGTCCTCAGGTGATTGGTTTCCTTCATCAGCCGGTCGATTGTCAAGATAATAAAGAGGAAAGGTGATAGTAAACATCCTTGTCTCACACCGGTCTTGATGTCAAAGCTGTCAGTGAGCTGGCCATCATGTATAACCATAGCGCAAACATGGCAGTAACTCATTACGTAACACACCAGTTTAAAAAAAAAATGGACAAACATCATCCAACCTACATCATCTTATTGTTATACGTACCTGCGTGTATCTGAATTTGAAATTCATAAGGTCGTAGGCCAACGAGCAAGGACGAAAAAAAAAAGCATTTACTGTTTTATCGTCGAAGCCGAGACGATCAGAGAAGTTTAGTATAAGAACGTAGGTCGAAGCCAAGGAGTTTACAGTAAACTCCTTGGTCGAAGCACATTGGATGTTGAATTACACTGCAGTAACGTTACATGTGCAGTGAGTCGGTCGCCGATAAAATTCAAATATTAATTAAAAACAAAATAATCGCCCAACGTGGGGCTCGAACCCACGACCCTGAGATTAAGAGTCTCATGCTCTACCGACTGAGCTAGCCGGGCGCTGCAATCAATCTTACGGGATCCATGTATTTCAGCAAGCAGTTCCACACAGCTCTCTCTCTCTCTCTCTCTCTCTCTCTCTCTCTCTCTCTCTCTCTCTCTCTCTCTCTCTCTCTCTCTCTCCTTTGTTATCTAGGTGTGTGTTTGTCTTTCTCTTTCCATCGAGGTCTCTGTAATTACTGAGTAACAAAAATTACCAGTCCAAATCAACCATCTGTTCAACTATTGTACTCTTCTCTGGTCTCTAGATCTCTCATCTCATACAGTTTTGTAGGCTAATAAGGCACAGCTAGATCTAGTACAAATCTAAGATCGTGTGCGGTATCTTTAAGTTTTCTACTTATTAATTTCGATTATCTGATTCCGACTCGATATCTGGGCTCAGTCTAAAGAGGAACTGCATGGCCCAGACAAGAAATGAATGGGGCAGTACAAAAATAGGCCTACCACCACAATATACCACCTTTCAGTAGGCCACGTGCAGATCAAAACTATTTCATCTTAGCCTACCAATTTTCCAATAGGGCTAACTCTTTTAACATACCCCCAACTATGCCTATATTAAAACATTAAAATTGCTTTGAATTGAACGTTATATGATTGAAAACTATCGTTTGTAATATTATAGATATAGATTAGGTTTGCCCTGATCAGTTTTGCCTACTTCATTCAATTTTGGTTCACAAAGATAGTCTTCCCCCATAAGAACCTCTTATATAACAAATTAATGTTATTATTATAACCTCTTTGTTTTTCCTTCACATAGGCCCCTACAGTGACATTTTGAACAGTTTGAAATTTAAAAGTAGTGTTACCAAAGATTCTCTTCTAGCGAATCTTATTTAAATTATGGTGTTAGGCCTATTAAGAGTGGCTTTCATAATTCAAATATAAATCCTGGTGATGATAATTTTAGGCTATAGGCCCTAATCTTTTTATTCTAGATCTAGACCTGAATGATAAGACACGTGATTTTAATTTTTAAAAGTACCCTACTCGAATCGAACATTTATGATTTATGTGGCTTGGTTATGTACGATCAAAGATTATACAAAATCTTTGGTACGATCTTTGGCTCGTTCGGTTTTTAGTTTTTAAGTTTAAGTTATTTTTTAAAACTAGATCTAGAATCTAGATCTAGATTTAGTTTTAGCAGAGACTCTTAAATAATTAAATACTCTCTGGTTTTAGTTTGGATACTTTTGAGGAACTCTTCTGTGTCTCGTCTCGCCTCTTTCTCCAATTCTCTCATCATGGCCGCAAACTTGATGTTCAAAGCGAAAGCTCGTTTGCCTTGAACCATGGCCCATGGTGTCAGGCTGCCTTCTCTCAATAAGTCTGTTTACCGTGTGTAACCCAGTCGATTAGAGGTCTTTCAGCGTTTTGTTATATTCCTTAATGTTGGTCATCATGGCTGCTCCGGTGTCCCAGAAAGTATTTAAAGCCATGCAAACTATTGACACTACAGCTCTCAGTGAATGTTCAGATTCTGAACTGCGTCCTGTGTTACCGGGTTTGGTTAGATTGGCTCTCTGCGCACCGCTTGATGATAGCGAAAACGGCAAGAAGGTTCAAAAGCATGTCCTTACCATCTTGTCTCGCCTTGAAGTAGTCAACAGTATTGTTGACATGCTTTCCATTGATTTTCATGCTTTGGAACAAGATGTGAAAAAAGAACAGCAGCTCAGGTAAGTAAATGTTTGTGTAGTGATTCAGATTTGGCTGATGTTAGGGGACTGTACGCCCCAAATAGTGCTTGGCGCTAGGGGACCGTATGCCCCAATAGTACTTGGCGCTAGGGGACCGTACGCCCCTATAGTGCTTGGCGCTAAGGGACCGTAGGCCCGTGACTATTCGGACTGGAATCCGAATATGAAAAAAGGATGAAAGCACTATTCCCAGTGACACTGGGAATAGGCCCAGAAACTATTCCCAGTGACACTGGGGATAGGACCAGAAACTATTCCCAGTGACACTGGGGATAGGCCCAGAAACCACTGGCAACAGGGCCAAGGGCAGAGTTGTTCCCAGTGTCACTTGGAATAGGCCCAGAAACTATTCCCAGTGACACTGAGAACTGAGAACAGACGGGCCAATTAGCCTTTGTTCCCACACTGATCTACCTGGGCATGATGATGGTGATGGGTTACTAAATACTAGATCTCTAGACTATATCTAATTTAGATCTAGATTGTAGATCTAGATCTAGATATCTAAATAAACTAGATTCTGGTGAGAGTGGGAGTTAAAAAAAAAAAAGAAAAATAATGATCATTCTATGTTTGCTGGTTATTCAGTCGTAATTTAAATGTACATGTCTAGATCTCTAGATCTACATAGGTTACGGATTTCGGAGACCACGGTACAGGACAGATAGAAATCCTTCCCGATTCTTCTCTCTTAAACAAGACCTAGATCTAGATCTGTACTCTACGGTCAAGTCTGAACCCTAAAAGTAAGAGAAGAGAACAAAAGTACTGAACTCAGTGAACTGACTGGAAGTGAGAAGAGAGTCTTTCAAGGCTGGCTACATAGTGCAAAGCCTTCTAATTTTTTTATGCAAAAGACTTCCCTTGTCACCGGGAATAGTTTCTGTACCTATCCCCCGTGTCACTGGGAATAGTCAGCACTTCGATGAAAAAATGTTATTCGGACTCTGATTCTTGTCCAGCATGACATCACTTCCGACTTCCTGTGACCCGTGACTTGGCTTCCTGTCCTGCCTCACTCATGACTCGCCTCAGCCTGGATCACTTCGGGCAAAATGGCGTTAAATTGTGCAGGAGCCGAGTTTTTATTTTATGATGAATTTGAGGCCAGCCTAAAAAATTATAGCGCTTCTAATAAATGTTTATTTGTCAAGAGGTCATCAGAAGCAATTAAAGATGGCTCATTAGCATGTGTCGGTGTCGGATGGGCGGCCTGCATAGGTGTGGCTGCGTGTGCCTGTCGGGGGGGGGGGGGCACTATCGGTCCGGGTGTTGAACGTCGTATCGTCAGTCCCCTCCCCCGCAACTGATAATTATTACAATAATAAGGCTAGTCTTGACGTAGATCTACGTATGAATTGTGCGCTGGTCTATGGAATCAAAAGTTGCCGTATGCTCGGCTCTATACAGCATCACAACTTTTTCTTGGTAAACAATCGAGATGACACAGGCTTGTGTATTTGAACGAATCTGTCTTTTTTTTTTTTACACAGCTCATAATATGCAGGTGCCAGGTGGTCTGCTAATCTTCAATTTTACCTTTTCCTACAACAAAAAAAGTGGGAAACATGGAGGTGGGTGGGGGGGGGGGGCGTATCAATAAGGCGGCGGGCATCGGATCGGCAGATAAGGATAAGGTGTGGGGAAACTAAAAAATGGCAGATAATTGGAAGCACTGAACGTTAGATCTATAGAACGAAGGCACTTCGTTTTTACCGGACCCCTGTCCAAATAACATTTTATCATATTCGGACTCGAGTCCGAATAAGAAATTTTTTTATTCGGACTCGAGTCCGAATATGAAAAAATGTTATTCGGACTCAAGTCCTAATAATGACGGCCTACCTGCGCTAAGCTGTCCCCGTGGTTTTATGCACCCCGCATAATTTAGCAAAATTTGATCGTTTTTTTGTGCATAATTTCTGATTATTTTTTCTTTATCATTCTTTGTTAAAATTAACAGTATCGCAAAATTTCACATTTTTGGGTTCAGTTTGCATAATTTCAGATTAGTTTTTCTTTATCATTCTTTGTTAAAATTAACAGTATCGCAAAATTTCACATTTTTGGGTTCAGTTTGCATAATTTCAGATTCTTTTGTGTTCATAAAACCGCGGGGACAGGCTAAGGCTTGGTGTTAAGCGACCATACGCAGATGTGCATGCATCTGGACTTTGCAAAAATATTAGAGGAAAAGGGCCAGTTTAACGAAGCTCCTAACGTTAGGAGCTATACTAGGAGAGTGATAAATTAAAATGTCTGAATACGATTGTGGGATTGTGGGGTATCCAGTGGCGGTGGGTGAACCAAAATTTGAAATTTTCTCTCGTCTGCACCCACGTTGTTGTTGAGTGTCAATAAAAGAGAGAGAGAGAGAGAGAGAGAGAGAGAGAGAGAGAGAGAGAGAGAGAGAGAGAGAGAGAGAGAGGGGAGAGAGAGAGAGAGAGATTGTATGTGTGTGTGTGAAAAACAGACAGAAAGGAAGAGAGAAAGAAAGAAAGAAAGTAAGTGTAAGAAAGAGGGGGAGAAAAAGAGAGAGAGAGAGAGAAAGTGTGTGTGTGTGTGTAAGAGAGAGGGAGAGACAAAGAGAGAGAGAGGGTGTGAGTGTGTGTGTGTGTGTGTATGCGTGTATATGTGTGTGTGTGTGTGAAAAACAGACAGAAAGGAAGAAGAGAGAAAGAAAGAAAGTAAGTAAGAAAGAGGGAGAGAGAGAGAGAGAGAGAGAGAGAGAGAGAGAGAGAGAGAGAGAGAGAGAGAGAGAGAGAAAGTCATTGAAAGTGTGTATGTGTATGAGCGTGTGTGTGTGTGTGCGCGTGAGAGAGAGAGAGAGAGGGAGGGTGTGTGTGTTTGTGTGTGTGTGTGTGTGTGTGTGTGTGTGTGTGTGTGTGTGTGTGTGTGTGTGTGTGTGTGTGTGTGTGTGTGTGTGTGTGGAAAAACAGAAAGAAAGGAAGGGAAAAGGAAAGAAAGAAAGTAAGTAAGAAAGAGGGAGGGGGAGAGAGAAAGAGAGAGAGAGAGAGAGTGAGGGAGAGAGAGAGAGAGAGAATTTGACAAATTGTGTGTGTGTATGTGAGAGAGAGAGAGAGAGAGAGAGAGAAAGTGTGCGCGTGTGTGAAAAACAGACAAAGGGAGTGAGAAAGAAAGTAAGAAAGAGCGGGAGAGAGAGAGAGGGAGACAAAGTATGTGTGTGTGTGGTTTTTTTTTTTAGTTTAGTTTTAGTGGAGGTTTTACTGTGCTCGCAACTCCAAAAGGTAATGAGCGCCAAGGGGTGGATGCCAACAGGGAATCAGACTTACTCTGCCCACCTATCTTGCTTCAATAGCACAAAGTCTGGTTCGACTATCAAGGCACCCCGGAAATGGTGGGTCATAAGAATGGGATAAACATACAAAAGAAGTAGAGGAAAAATGAAGCAGCAGTTCCCTGTTGTAGATCAGGCACAAAATCACCAGGCCCTGATGAAATTACAAACGAAATGTTACAACACCTAGGCAACACAGTGTTACAGACTCTACTGGATATTATATTCGACTTAAGCTGGAAAATAGGGCAAGTACCTCAGTGCTGGAAAGAAGCAACGATGATCCCAATCCTCAAGCCAGGGAAAAGTAAGGCACAACCATTAAGCTATAGACCTATCAGCCCCACAAGTTGTGTATGTAAGTTATGAGCGTGACATTGATGAATCAGCCCATTTACAATTCTACTGTGCATGAATGAGAAATGTTCCCCCCTTTGGGAATGGCCTGAAGACACTTTAGTATGTGTGTGAGAGGGAGAGAGAGAGAGGGGGTGGGGGGTGGGAGGGGGCGTGAGAGAAAGAGAGCGATGAACAAGTGTACACAAAGGGAATGAATGTTTTTGGAGAAAAATGAGTAGGATAATAGTGTGTGTGTGCTCAGGCGTATTCTGCGTACAGACGTGATTAAATTTTTCAGCTTTGCGATCTAAAATAAATAAGCCTGATTCAATGACGCCCGGAAACGCTGGAAATTTACTCATTTCTTCATGCAGAACTCGCCTGAGCACACACTTAGTCTTGATTGTGCGCAAGATGCAAGATCAATTTACATTCAGTGACAATAACAATAACAAGAAAAGAAAGGAAAAAGAAAGTGTTGCTATACTATGGATATAATTTGTACTCTTAACTCTTATTCCACACAAGGCGTCACATGATTAATGATCTCTTCTCAATCTTACAGCATAATTATACCCTGCTGACCCCATCGACATCGTTCGCCCCCAACATTCCCTTATCCCTTCGCCCACTCTTTCCATCTCTCTCTCTCTCCCTCTCTCTCTCTCTCTCCCTCTCTCTCTCTCTCTCTCTCTGTCTCTCTGTCTCTCTGTCTCTCCCTCCCTCTCTCTCTCTCTCTCCTCTCTCTTTCTCTCCCCCCCCCCCCCCCCCCCTCTCTCTCTGTCTCTCTTTGATGTCTTTTATTGACACTTAAGAGAGAACATTTCAAATTTTGGCACACCCACCGCCACTGGATACGGTACCCCACAATCATATTCAGACATTTTAAACATTCTTTGTAATAACTCCTAACGCCAGGAGCTTGGTTAAACTGGTCGTTTTCCTCCAGTATTTTTGCAAAGTCCAGATGCATGCACATCTGCGTACTGTCCCTTAACACTAAGCCTTAGCGCAGGTAGGGCGTACGGTCCCTTAGCGCCAAGCACTATGGGGGCGTACGGTCCCCTAACAATAGCTTTCAGATTTAGTGTTGGTATGCCCAGTTAATCCTCGTCCTGTGGGGGCTAGGTTTATGTCGCCCGATAAGCCTATTTCGGCACCTCGCCTGCGTTCTGGTTCCGCGTCATCTCTCGTTCAGTTCGGGTCCCGCGTCGGATCCGCATTCACGCAGCTCAAGGTGTGTGTGCGTCAGTCTGCTTGAGTTTTTGTGCATTTGTGGCCTTCTTCTAGAACCGCCTGCGTTGGTTCGTAACCGAGGCGTACGTCTCAATCAAAACACGCC